TTATAAGCTTTTTAAAAATTTTAATTAAAACGACAGAATAAGAACAAGTTTAATAAGGAATATAAGTTAATCAATCAGTGAATCAAATGAGAAATGGATATTATATAATAGCTGCTTTTTTGAACATTTTAGTAATTAAAAAATATTAAAAAAAGATTTTTTACACTGCACCCCTACTCTCGACAGACGCGGCACCCCGGTTGGGAAACACTGCTCTAAATAATGCCGCGAGTGGGGCTTGAGGAAATGACGTCGCCTGCGTCTGAGCAGTGTGACCTGATGCAGCCCCTGAAGCGAGACACAGGAAACAGAAATACTGCAAAATAATAATAATAACGCGACTAAACGAGACGAAATAACGTTATAACATTTCGTTTCGTCTCATTTTGGTCAACGAAAATGAAGAGACATTTTAGCATAGTTTTTATTTTGTAAACCACATTTAGTCTCGTTTTTATTAGTCAATGATATTGCATTATACATTTAATTATAGTCATCGTCACATGACCAGCATTTACGTTGCATCTCGTCTCGTTTTCGTCACGTGATAAAGGTTCGTTGACAACGATATTTAGTCATAGTTTTCGTTGACGAAAGCAACACTAGACTGCAGCACAAAATGCACGGCTGTATGGTTCACATAGTCAAGAGTTTAAACAGGAGTGGATTGAATAATGTCTGCATAAACCGAGGGGATAAAGTTTGGCTGGTTAGCATGGCCCTGCTAGTATATCCCCTAACTAAAAAAAACCTGGTTACTAAAAGCATATTTTGCCACATTTAAAAGTAGCCGTGTATTTTGATGCAAACTTTCTATAGCTAAAATTTTATTATAATATATTTTCTTGATTCTGTTTTAGGGGATTATTAAAGGAATAATTCAGCCAAAAATGAAAATTTACTGGTTCCATTCATTCACCACATATCAAACTCTCTCTCACATTTCGGTTGTGACCGCAACACATTTAAAGAATGCAGACATCGCATTTAGCACTAACTGCACTCTAAACAAAACTGATAACCATATTCTGCTGCTGTGTGAACGTAACCATGTCGAGTCTCACTCTGATCTCATTTAGATGAAGTCATGATCCTTACTGGTCAGAACAAAAAGCATGTTGTCTCCTTGCTGATTCTACCTGTTCATTCACAGGAGAGATGGGGCCTACGGCCATCTATTGAACAACAGCATCCTCTAGTGGACATTAGCACAGAACAAGCTGTGATAATGCAAAACCTCATTACACAAACGACCTCATGAAATGTATTCAATACTGAGAAGGACAGTTCCGTGTTTACTTTAATGATTAGAACAATGAGAAGGTTCACCATACTTGGCCACATGTCACTTCACTTTAACTTTTTTTTTTAAATACATTTTATGAGGCTATCAAACGCAGGCCCAGAGTAATATACTGTTGCACTGGAGAATACAACAAGTGTGAAGTACATCTGACAGTATTTGGATACTCAGTGTATTTCCATATCTAAATAACCTCAGATGAACTGTCAGCATATCTGTCTTCAAGTGTGTTAAAAAATGTGTTTTCACTCATAAAGAAGGCTAATGTAGTTTTGGTGAAAACCTTCAGTTTGTGAGGTTAGTGTACTCAGGTGGGTGAAAATGATTCGTCCTACTTAAAAAAACCTACACAGAGAAAAGTTGTTTTTGGGGTCATTTAAATGAAACAGTGTTGCTTGCGCTCTCTTTGCATGATAGTAAAGCATGTGAAAGCTGTGGGTGACATTTGCAGATCAATTTTACTGATTTTTACATGTATGCATTTGGCAGGTGCTTTTATCTAAAGCAACTTAATGCATTTAGGCTCCACATTTTATCAGTATGAGTTTTCTGTGAGTATGAAACCCATGACCTTGGCATTGCTAGCACTATGCTCTACCAGTTATAGTTATACATATGCTGTATACGCTAGTGTATGGTAAAGATGAAAATTCTATGCATGTTCAAATGTCTCTAAACCTGATGTGTATGTAAGTGCACATGAGATTTGACCGTTATTGCGAAATGGCAACTGTTGATTGTAGCATATAAAAATGTAAATTTCAGTCTTTTCCTCATACAAGGTTATTGCGGGGGCTACTTGTACAGTGCCTCTGGTCATTTTTAAAACTTTGAGACCTCCATTCATTTTCATTATATGGTCGTTCTGCCAAACATATTTTGTGTTCTACAGAAGATAGATAGTCATACAAAAAACAAAAAAAAAAATCTGAGTAAATGATGACAATTTTCATTTTTGGGTACATGTTTACAAGTGGCTTGTTGCTAGGGAAAAAATTAATTGTTGATAATTTTATTATCTCTAAATGGTGGTTTCCCATTGACAATCCATTTTAGTGTGGTTTATATTACTGAGAAATCAGGTCATGCTGTTCAGTGTAACCTTTGGATTCCTATTGATGTGACACAAAAACAAACAAAACAGATTGCTCTGGAAGCCTGGCAGCCAGCAGGCTGTGACTAGTTAATACTGTAAAGTCCACAGAGTACATAAGATACATGTGTATCTATGCTCTGCTGTATAAAATGTCAGGTTTGCCAAATACTCCTGCCTGCCAGGCAGTGCCATGCCAAACTCAAAAAGAAGTATTTTTGCACTGAAAGAAATGACACATAGTACCTTCAATAGGCTTCAAAATTTTACAGTAGTTGCAGCACTCATATACAAACACATGATGGCAGTGTTGAGCTGGTTTAACTCAAACGTACAGATGCATCAGGTGAGTTGAGACCACACAGAGTCTCAGGCAGCTGTCACTTTTCATTGATTGTTGTTATTCTGCTGCAAATCTCAGTCACTCTCAACATATCTGTGAGAAAACACCTGAGGTAAATAACTAGTGAAGATAAAACAAGCTATTTACCAACATTTAGGTATTATAATAGAACAGGTTGTTTTAAAGAGTGAGGAAAAGTAAAGAGTGAGGAACTGTGACATTGTACATACTTAGTACTACTTAAGGCTTGAATGACATTGTTCTCCAACAGTCCATAGCTCAAGGTTAAACAGCCTCCACGTGGCTCATCTGCAGGCACGTGCAGAGGGGGGTGCGATGGGTGCTTGATCACCTGCCCCTTTTCCCCTTGATGCCCAAAGTGCCCTTTTGTCAAGGCAATTTTATTTTTATTTTTTTTTGTAATTAAACGCCATTTTGTGAAGGCCTGCCCAATCTATTAGTAAAATGAATGAATAATAATTTAGTCGTAAATAAAATTATCCACATGATGATGACCTTTCACCTGACATCTCATCAGGGACTATCCCTCACGTTCAGACACCTTTAATGTAGCGCACTACCAGGATGCCTTCATAACGTCCGCGGCTGCCGGTAAGTGGAGTTCTCAGCGGAGCGGTGTGCTTGTATACTTATATTATTAAATTGTTATTATTATTATTATTATTATACAAGAACTGCGTGAAGAGAGCATGCACAGCTGTTGTTTATATTGCTGTTTGTAGCCTGTGGAAGTTAGGGTGACCATACGTGCCATTTTCCCAGGACGCGTCCTGGCCAGGATTTCTATATTGCCTAAAATATCTAGGTTTTGGCTTTGTTTGCGTGTGCAGATCGATCGGTGTATGACATCAAAGTACCATACAGACGGTTATGCTTTCGAAACGCTCTCGAGGTACTTTGATGTCAAACACTGATCGATCTGAGCCGCACTGCTTTTAAGTCGAACACACCTAATATGTACGCGTAATTGCATCGCTTTGACCGTAGATCCCACCTTCTCATTTAAAAATATTAAAAAAGGATTTTTTACGCGGCACCCCGGTTGGGAAACACTGTTTTAAATAATGCCGCGAGTGGGGCTTGAGGATGTGACGTCGCCTGCGTCTGCGCAGTGTGACCTGATGCAGCCCCTGAAGTGAGACACAGGAAACAGAAATACTGCAAAATAATAATAATAACGCGACTAAACGAGACGAAATAACGTTATAACATTTCGTTTCGTCTTGTTTTGGTCAACGAAAATGAAGAGACATTTTAGCATAGTTTTTATTTTGTAAACCACATTTAGTCTCGTTTTTATTCGTCAACGATATTGCATTATACATTTAATTATAGTCATCGTCACATGACCAGCATTTTCGTCTCGTCTCGTCTCATTTTCGTCACGTAATAAAGGTTCGTTGACGACGATATTTAGTCATAATTTTCGTTGACGAAAGCAACACTAGCCGCACGCAGTAGTTTTCAGTCGCAAATGCTACTGAAATGGTCGCACTGTAGAGCCCTGATATAGTGAAAATGTAGTGATCATACTTGTTGCTATTGTCGTTTTGACAGCCACAGATGTTACTACAATGAATCAGCAAACCCTGCCCATTGAAGTGCCACATGAAACAGCCTGCCTGAACTAGACCAAAAGCAGCCGCCTTTGTAGATTTTGGAATGAGATACTTAAGAGGCACCCTGTTAGAGGAAATCTGATTTTTTATTTCGCTGGCTATAGTGAGAATACAACATCAAATTGAGTAGAACACATTAACCGTTGTATCTCAATTCCTGTAAAATTTCAAATTAACCCCAACCTCTAATGTACGTTTAAAATATGTGCAATGCTTCCACTTTATTTTGTGAATCAATTTAGTCAGAATTTGAGCACTCAAAAATAGATTTGAATTTTATCTTAAATGGTGCTTCTGACAGCAACTTGTGACGACAAAGCGACCAGAAATCATTAGATTTTAATGTGAGTTAGCAGTATGTGGCAACATGAGCAGCTGTGGCCATTTTTGTGACGCCCCAAGTTGAGAAAAAGTAACTTTTTTTTGTAAGTGAACAGTGAATTGGTGACTAACAATGAGAGTCAGAGAAGCCAGAATTTCCCTGTTCTTTATTTGACCACATCTAGGGATATTATTAAAGTTATCTGTGGAACACCGGCATTCTGTATGAGTTTGATTCATATATAAACAAGTCTAAATTTTCTGTTGCAGTCTGATGAAAGCAGGAAACAAGCCTCCGTCTACAACTACGCCAGGAAAACCAAAGAAAGCCACCACCTTCCAAGAGTTTGAGAGCATCACCAGTGATGCTTGGGATGTGGGAGATGATGATGATGAACTTCTCGCTATGGCAGCCCAAAATCTCAACATTGAGGTCGTCATGGAGACAGCCAATAAGGTGATAGAAAACCACAGCAAGCTGCAGGAAAGAAGACAGCAGCAGATGGATAAGATGACTGAGCCTGACGAAAAAGATGGACAGGAAGCACACGAGGAAGAGGAGGAAGAGCCAGATGAAGAGGATGAGAGAGAGGAAGGGGCAGAGACGACAACAGATCTGTCGTTCAGTTCAGAGGCTCTTCCACTCAGTGACAATAGACTGGTGAAGTCACACAGTGAAGCTCCTGTCGGCTCGCCTAAAGGTCAGTCAAACATCAGTACAACTGCATTTCCTGTCTCTGTTTACTCTTTTTGTCTGGTTTATTGTTTGAATGTTTGCTAAGTGTTAACAGATCTGAAATTCATCTTTGATTGTTGTGTTAAGTGTTGTTTTTCTAAACTAAAAAATAATAAAAAAAATTTAATTGAATAAAATAACATATAAATATTAGATGAAAAAAAAGTTGAAAAGTAGTTAAAAAAGTTGGAGTACTAAAATTACTAAAACAAAAAGCAAAAACTAAAACAAACAAACAAATAAATAAATAAAAAGCTAAACAGAAATAAAAAAATCTAAATAATAATAATAAAACGAAATAATAAAAATAACAAGTCTAAAACAAAATTACTAAAACTTAAACTTTAGATAAACTGAAAACATAAAATGCTAATAAATTAATAAATAAAAATATTAATAAATACTAGGGATGCACCGATACCACTTTTTCCAGTACTCGCCCGATACCGATACTTTTATTTTTGGTACTTGCCGATACCGAGTACCGATACCGATATTTTTATTGCATTTGTAAATTTTTTTAATATTGGGTATAGAAACCAAAAGGGTATGTATAATGTTAGTTGGTTAACTTCATTTATCAAATAGATACAGTCAAACCAAAATTTATTCAGACACCTTCAACATTTCTCACATTATCACAGTTTATTCACTATAGTTTAGAAAATGGTAATAAAATATGACAAGAACTCAGAGTTACACTGTGTGAACAAATTCATCTTGATAACGCTAGATAATTCTGATAGAAAGGTATGTAATAGATTACAATCAACCAAAAAAT